CATCTGGTGAGGTCCAGTTCTCCAGATGTGGGTCCACCTTTTGATTGCAAGGACTATAAATCTCATAACAGTGATGTCCAGATTCCCTTGGTCGAAACTATTAATCCTTGAGTTGATGTTCATCTTCCTTTCTCAAGCTGCTTTTCACTGTTTTGTTAAGGCGTGAGATAAGCACGTTTCCTTTTTATATATTCTAAAGCTGTCGTTTCAAAGATCCTTACTACAAGCAATATTCTAAAATTATACTTCAAAAGGTTATTATTGCAAAACTCTTTAAGGGTTAACTACAAGCAGAAAATTCCTATCAAAAAGCGACATCCTTAACGCTTTAATTCAAATGCTCCTAAATCAACTGAAGACTTATAAGGTTAATTGCAAACAAAAGATAGGTTCAAAGGCCTTCTTCCATGCTTTACTTTTCTCAGTTATTATTAGAATTCATCTTTATAACTGTCCCATGGTCAGTTTCCACACTTATTACAATCACAAATACACACATTGCCTGTTTGTACCTGACACGAAACACAGCTTTGTATTTCACAATGCCAGTTAACCATAGCACTAAGTGCCATGTCCAGTCATTTCTTAAATGCCTCCAGGGGTGGAAGTGTTTGTTGTTGAACCTTATAAAATTGGCTTCAGCCCATTGATTCAGCTTGTCCAGATCCCTCTGCAGATCCTTCCTGCTCTCAAGTACAGGGTCTCAGCACTCCCACTCAACTTAGTGTCATCCACAGCCTTTCTGAGGGTGCATTCTATCCCCCTGTTCAAATCATTAATGAAGATGTTGAACAGGGCTGGTCCCAATACTGATCCCTGTGGGACACCATTAGTGACTGGATGCCAAATGGATGCAGCACCGTTCACCGCCATTCTCTGAACCTGGCCACTCAGCCAGTTTTAAACCAGGACAGGAGTGTGCCTGTCCAAGCCATGGGCTGCCAGCTTTTCCAGGAGAATGCCCTGGAAAACAGTTTCAAAGGCTTTGCTGAAGGTCAGGTCGCAGCCTTTCCCTCATCCACTGGGTGGGTCAGCTGGTCATAAAAGGAGATGAGGTTGGTCAGGTAGGACCTGTTTTCCCTAACCCCTGGCTGGCTGGGTCTGATCCCCTGGTTGTCCTGTATGTGCTGCATGATGGCACTCGAGATGTTCTGTTCCATAACCTTCTCCAGCACTGAGATCAAGCTGACTGCTCTGTAGTTTCCTGGATCCCCCTTCCAACCCTTCTTGTAGATGAGTCACACTGGCCAACCTTCGTCCCACTGAGACCTCCCTAGTTAGTCAGGGCTCATGGTAAGTGATGGAGAGGGGCTTGGCAAGCTCTTCAGCTCCCTCGCTACCCTCAGATGAATTCCATCTGGTCTCACCGACGTGTGAGGGTCCAAATGGCTCAGCAGTCCACCAGCTACTTCCTCTTGGAGTGCAGGGGGTCTGCTCTGCTCCCTGTCCCTACTAGCTCAGGAGACTGGTTGCCCTGAGGATCACTGGTCTTTCTGTTGAAGAATGAAGCAAAGAAGGCATCAAGTACTACAGCCTTCTTCTCATCTTTGGTTACAGCGTTCCCCTCTGCAGCCAGTAAGAGATGGATATTTTCCTTGGCCCTTTTTATGTTGTTAATGTATTTATGAAACCACTTTTTATTATATTTTACAGCAGTGGCCAAATCAAATTCTACCTGAGCTTTTGCCTTTCTTATTTTTATTCTTCATAACCTAATGACATCCTTGTGCACTTCTTGAGTTTCCTGCCTCTTGTTCCAAAGGTCACAAACTCTTTTTTTCCCTGAGTTTCAGTAAAAGCTCCCTATTCAGTTTGGCCGGTTTTCTTCCACACCAGCTCATCTTCCAGCACACAGCAATGGCCTGCTCCTGGACCTCTGAGATTTCCTTCTTAAAATATGTCCAACCTTCCTGGATCCCTTTGTTTTTAAGGGCTGTTTCCCAAAGGACTCTGTGAGCCATTGTCCTGAGGAGACTGAAGTCCATGCTCTGGCAGTCCAAGGTAGAGGCTTTGGTGATCCCCCTTTCTTACTTCAGCCAGGACCAGAAAATATTATTTTGTGGTTGGGGTGCCCAGGATAGCCACCGACCACCACACCTCCCACCTGCCCTTCTCTGTCAGCAGGCAGCAGGTCCAGCAGAGCACTGCCCTGGCCAGCTCCCTTGCCAGCTGTGTCAGGGAGCCACCTTCCACACACCCCAGGAGCTTCTTAGACTGCCTGCTCTCCACTGTGAGGAGCTGCCAGCAGGTATCTGGGAAGCTTTGCATTACCTGCAGTCCAGCTCCCAGCTCTGGCACCTTTAGCCACCCTCTGAAGGCATCAGCTTCTCTGGGGGCAGTGCCAAGGTGCAGGTTCAGGCACATGTGTAGGGATGTGTGATAGTTTCCTCTCTGTAAAACTACCAAACATTCACGTGTAATTCCCAGATAAAAGCCACAGTAAGTTTGAGCTAATTAAATTATACTATGAATCAATTAGAGTGTGAATAATTCATTTAAGAGGCAAGGAGTTCAATCTTTCTGCATATTTAGCAATGTTACTCAGCAGAACAGCCACATCCCAGGTGAAATTGGCCACCAAAGCTCTGATATGAGATGCATGAGGCAGGGCATAAACACTTATTCCATTGCTCAGTTATTGAGAGTAAAGTTCTAGGCTTCCTGGTGGGGAGTGGTTCAGCTGTGTAGGCCAGTGTGGGTACTGATTACATGTACAGTAAACAAAACACATTTCAATAAAAAACCCCAGGCTTCACTTGCTTGGGAAAACCACTGTATGATGAAATTCAAAGAGAAAGGCTTTTCTGAGCATTTGTGTAATGTATTGTTGGGAGAATATATGTGTTTTGTGGACAGCTGACTTGCCCAGGAGAACACAAAATGCAAATCTGATGTAAAATGTCAAAGGGCAAACGGTGTGAGTTAAGGCTCACAGCATACATCTTCAGGCTGTGCTACTGTGAAAACACAGAGTGCAGCATCTGAGCTGATGCCAATGAGTGCTCAAAAGAGATGCAGATAAATCCTACAACTTCAAATAAATGCCAGTTTCCTCATATCTTTCTGGTGATACAAGCTGCTTTATGGTTCTGGTTTGAGCTGTGTGCCAGCAGAGATGATCAGGTTGCACTCATTTAGTTTGTATTACCTAGGAGATAAACAGTTCTCATTTTCCAGGCATAAAATGTAACTCCCTTTCTCAGAAATGAGCTGTTGATTGTTAATTCCACTAGAAAGCTGGGATCCATCTGTAATCATTCACTGGGGCACAGGTAAGTTAGATTTTCTTGTTATGAAATACAGTTTCACTGAATGAGATGTTGATTTTCTGACATTAAATAGGATTGATAGTAGCTTCATGCAAGTGTCCCGTCTGCCAACATACACCATGGATATAATCTGCTTTTTGTTGCACTATTGCAGCACTTCATCATATTACAGAGTTAAATGCCAGTGACAATTTATTGTCCAAGTGGAAATCTTTTGACTTTGTCAATTCTTTTTATTATTTTACAAGTTGACCAAAGTGTGACAATAGTAACAGTAGCCTGAATGGAGCAATAATATTTATTAATGTTGAAGATCATTTGCTGTGGAGGGAGATTTTTGTTTACATCAGGAGAGCAAGGTAGTGATGGGTTATCTGTTTGGCATGAAGGTGATGAGAAATGAAGTCGTTGTCATGTAGGTGAGATAGGAATATCATGGCTTTAAAAATTAAATAATTTTGGCTACTTCTGAGCTTAATTTTTAAAAAATACATTATTTACCAAGTAACAAAGAAAACAGTAAACTGTTTCTGCCCTCTCAAAGACCATTCATTGCTGCAGAGAAGAGACCACAGCTATTAGCAGCTGGCAAAGCATTACACTCAGCAGCTGCTGGTTTTTTAAGTGATGTTTGTGGTTTCCCTAAATACAAAACAAGATGGGATTTTGCCATAGTTTACAAGTTGTATTTTCAGGAAACTGAATGTTTGGCAACTAAGATCCTGGAGCACAGGAAAAAAAAGAGATTTATCCTAAGCCACTGCAGGAACCCATGTGAAAGTCAGATGTAAAGCCAAATCAACCAGCTCCAGTATTGTGCTAAATGGCCAGCTGAGCCCTCTTCCATCTAGTGTTTACTTTTCCTTCCTGTAGTTGGTTGACAAATAAGTGTCTAGGCTAATGTCTTTACATATCACATGTCTATTTTAAGCCCTATTTATTCCTGCTTTTAATATCACAGTAGTTAGAGGTTTATCTCCCAGTGGACCAAAGAGCTTATTTCTTGCTCCAAGGAGTTAAAAGTTAATAATAGGCATGGAGCAGTGAGGGGTTAGAATCGGCAAGCTAAGGCAGGTGAAAGCAAGGGCCTGGGCTATGAGAGACCATGGCTCTTTTCTTAGCTCTGCCTCTGATGTGCTGAGTGATGCTGGATAAACCACATCTGCCCCTTGACAGCACATGTTTTCTCTGTCTAGATTGGCAGTGTTTGTAGGAGAGGATGCCCTTTCCCCATTACATGCTAATGAAGGGTTCATATCAATGAATTTCATTCTAAAGTATCTACAGTGTCTACTTTTTGTCTGCACATGAGAAGACTAAGCTATTGCCAGTATGTTTACCTCTGCCATTTGGGGGCCTCTCCTTCCTCTGGAAGCACCTGAAGGATGCAATAAGTGGGAAAGTTTTGGCTCACATCAGCCTTGGAACCATGGGCTTTGCTGCACTACCAATGACTAGCAGTGGTCATGGCAGAAGTGAACAGCTTGGCCAGGACACAGACCCAGGAGGGCTGTGTTTGCTCAGGGGTTGTCAGCTTCTGCCTGGCTTGTTTTTGAAGACCCTGAAAAATGACTGTCAATATTACATTAATGTTAGAGCTTTACTTATTTTAATAAATTTTAATAAATTTTAATAAATTTTAATAAAAAGAGGTGAGTTGTCTGAAGAAGGCAAAGTTAATTTTTATGTTTTCTGTTTTCTCTTGCTGACTCTCTCATAAGGACCTGGAGATCACCGTGGCACTCTCAGCACTGAACAAGAAGCAAAGTCATTGCAAGGTTAGTGACTTGTAGCAAGAGTTTTTCAGCCCCTATTGCAGATGTGCAATAGTTTGCACAGCTGGTACATGTTCAGCTTGGTATTGTGACTTTGAATCAAGTGGTACTGTTCCTTGGTGTTCCCAGGAGGATTCCTGAATCCCTCCTCTTCTGTAGCAGAGCACTGGGCAATGAGAGCAGCATGCTGAGGGGACTAGTGGAGCTTCCATCAGCTTAAGAATAGACTGAACTGCCAGGAACAGTTCCTGCACAACTAAGCCTTTTTAGGGCCAGAGAACAAAGCAAATCAGTGTTTCTCAGCCAGTGGACCTCACACCTCTGGTAGTCACTAAGGAAGCAGTAGGCAGTCCATGAAACAGACTCAGCAACCATAAAATGGATGTATGCCTGCTAATATCAACAAACAGAAAAGATAAGGGCAAAAAGCAGTTACTAAATGAACACCTGAAGATAAGCTTAATTATTTGTTTGGTTGTTTATGGAAACCATTGGGCCAGTACTTGTTTTTTATTTTCCTCACTGGGAGGATCCTCGGTGTTTGGTGAAAAAAAAAAGGTGCTGTGATGATGTTTTGATTGAAATGTAAAGAATAAAGGAGAGAATGGACTCTAAAGATTGTTACCAGCTCTGCTTTTTTTATGGTCCTATATCCTCTGTGATTTCTGCTTCTGCTCTCTTCTTTATCATGTTTTGTCACTGTTTATGGTTCTCTTCTTTCCTGTTATTAAAAATAAATAAATAAATAAAGATAAGTTGTAGGTGCAGCAAAAACTCCCCAGCAATGTTTAGATCAGAAAAAAGAGCTCTTCCATCTCTCAGACTGTGAGGATAATTTAGCTTGCTTGTACAGAATTGATACATCCACTGTTCAGAGGCTTGTGTTCTTTCTCTTATTTTTCACTGTTCCATCTCCATTTCCCAAAATATGTGCCTTCTTCCTGTAATTTGCCAGATCTTTGATCTGCAAGTTGCCTGCCCTTTGTGCCTCTAACACTTAGGATGCTTTCCCACTTCCTCTCCTGTTATTCAGTTTGTTCTTGCATTTTCTTACTTTCCTGTCACTGCCTTCTGCCTGCCATTTTCCTCCACACAAAAATACTCTTTCTGCTTTTAAAGTAATTAAATTAGCAGAGCTGATTGAAATCTAGGTGAAGTAAATCTCTGAGCACTGTGCTTTTCAGTGCATGCATTACTCAATTAGCCAACCTCCTGTAGGCATCAGTGAATGACAGAAATTAATATTTGATGATATATTCAACAACAATAGCATTACTCAAACACTTTACTCAATAAAGAACATTCAGCACACTCAGAAGTTAATGGTGCATTCAGGTTACTCTGTTTGCTCAGCAGAACACGTGCCCAACCCCAGGGGGGAAAATCAAGTCACTGATACATGTCAGGGAAACAGGATGGGAAGCCTTTTCTGGTCATTTGTGCCTCTCATGAGCAGGACAAAGTGCATGTGTATGTTGGTGGGGGTGTTTAAATCCCATATAGGGAATAAAGGATGTATGTGATGAGGAAGAGAGATTATTTGCTGTATTTCCTGGCTGGCAAATCTTGTTTTCATGCTTACCACTCACACTTCAGCTAGTAATGAGAAAAACAAATCAACATATTTCTAATCTTCAGCTTTTGTTCAAACTGGGGTGTGCATGTGTGTATTGAGCAGAGGGTTGAAGTAAGTCTAACCACAAATCCCTGCTTTTCACTTCTTGCTCCATTTAATGTTTCCTTGAGTACTTGGTGCAAATAACTTATCTTCTACTGTTTAACTCACTCTAATGCCTCCTTGGTAATTTTTAGTAGAAGCCAACTCTCTTTTGTGGTCTTTATGTCCACAGTGTCAAGGGGATCCCACTTGAATGCTTTTGTAACTTTCTTAAAACTTTGAGTAATTTCATTTTTAGCTTCAGCATCGGACATTACCTCGACACAAATTGATGTCATCTACATTTCCCACAATCTACTCAATTTCTTTAGCTAGCTTCCCTTCTTGACTCCCTTTGTTTCTTCCTGCACAACATGAACCTTCTCCAGATTCTAAGGCTAAAATGTCTCCTTGGTTGCAAGGATTTGGATCACACTTTTCCTCTCTTGTCCTTACATTAGCCAGAATATAATTTTGCTAAAACATCATGCCCCAACACTACTCAGCATCTGCTGCCATGTGTACTGCCACTTCTTGAAGTGTTACAAAATACCACTGTCATATTTTTCATACTGCCCAGCTATGTGTTTACTAGATGATTTTTTTTTCATTGTCTGAATCCTCACCTTGCTCTGAATTTCATACAGCCCACTTAATGTGTCTTCTCTAGTCTGAGCTGACTTGACCCCTCATCAGTCTTGTGCCTGTGCTGTCCCATAAATCAATTCTCTCTTGTTTACCTGTTGAGTAACTCCTTGTCTTTGAAGTCCATTTTCTTTTTTTTTCCATTCCATGTGTTCTTTGCAATGCTTCAGTGAATTAATTGTATTTTCAAAGGATGCAAAAGCATCAGTTAACATCCACATCTATAGCAACAGTGGTAATAAAGCAAACATAACCTTTCCAAAGCACATTTGCAGCTCCTTTGAACAGGGGAGCTGTGCTAGTTACAAACAATACTACAAAAGAGGCTCTGTGGCCCTTTAGGTTTGAAGCTGAAGGTTGTTCTCTACAGCCATTTCTCATTATCAAGTTAAGGCTGCAACTGGAAAAATATAACTAAAGTTCTGCAGACCTCTGGCTGCAGAAGCACTGTGGGCCACAAGACCTGCCCTGCAGTCCTTCAATAAATTTTAGTTTCTCTTCAACAGAACACACAGACCAGGAATCACTTTCAGTTCTGTGGAATCCCTGATGCCTCATTACTAAACGTCTAGGTTACAGAATGTGTTGCTCTCTTTCAAATTAGCTTTGCAGGAATTTCATCCATCCAATCTTCTGTCTGGCAGGATTTTGCCCCTTGCTCAGGATCTGTTGACTTTAGTCAAATTCCCGGTCCCTGTTTTCTTTGGTCAGGACTTCTTACTCTCCTTTATATTGTTCTTCTCAATGTGGGATTGGCAAAGAAAGTGTAAAGTTGTTATTTTCTAATCCCTCCTCCTGCTCAGTTAAGGAAGTAGCAGCTCAGCTTTGGGAAAAAGAGACCTCGAGGTAAATTTCTCAATCTGTATTTTGGTAAAACCATGGCCTGATTTCCACCAGTGTTGGTTCCCACTGATTTTTGTGCCTTGCTGGTGATCCAGTGTATCTTTCATTTCTGTTCACCTGGAGGCTCAGAACTGGTGGAACTCCAGCCATGGATTTATAGGTGGAATCAGGCTTTTTTACTTTAGAAGAGGATGGTGCACTTATCGTGGCCACCAGCAAAAGCCCCCTTGCAGCCACGCTTGTTTTCCATGGAATAACAAAATTCAGAATTCCCTCCAACAGTCCATGGCACATCTTAAAACCTTAGAAGAGGTCTCTTGAGGTTTTTCTTCAAATCTCCAGAGGACAGCTCATCCACAAGATGCACGTGCTAACATTGCTCAGTGAATGCTTTGTTTCCTTTCCTGTGATTTATTACATAGTGGTAATATATACCACTAGTGGTAGTGTGTTCATGTTTGCTGTTCAGCTCCTTTGAGACTGTTCTGACTGTGTATTGCTTATTTAGAAAGCATTAAAGCCTTGAAGCTCATGTCTTCAAAAGTTTGATTTAAACTTCTGCTTGAACTCTGTGTGTGGAAGACAGGAATAGCTCTTTAATGAAAAAGTATCCACACTGCCAAACACATTTAAAAGCATAGGAGCATATGTCTGAAAGGATATAAGCTGGTATTTCCCTGTTATCTTTTGTATCTGCAGCATAAAGGAGTAGCTTGGTAACCATTCTTGGCAGTATCAATCAGGAATATATAAATTTCTGCAGCTGCCCCTCAGCTCCTCAAGCTAGTGCTGAGCTCTGATGGTAGCAATGCAGGAATATCCAAATAACCTTGCTTCCCTGCAGAAGCCTGACCATAGGGCTGCAGAATGAGGGACAGCAAAAGAAGCAGTGAGCTTTCCATGTGTGTTGAGCCTTAGAGAATCACAGAATCATTTAAGTCAAAAAAGACCTCCAAGACTGAGTCCAACCTTTGACCGATGCCCACCTCATGGTCAGTAGACCATGGCACTAAATGCCTCGTCCAGTCATTTCTAGAAGACCTTGAAGGGGTGGTGACCCCACCACCTCCCTGGGCAGCCCATTCCAGTGCCTGAATACCTTTTCATGAAGCTTTGTGATGCTGTGGCCTGATTACTACTCGATCTTGCCTGCTGATGAACTTTTCCATCAGCAGTACCTGCAGCTACGGCAGGGTCAGTGGGATTTGTGTGTGCCCCTGCAGCCACGGAGGGGTCCATTTTCTCTCCTGCTAGGCAGAGCTTGCAGAAGCAGAAATTGGCATGAGGACATTAAAAAACACAACACATGGAAATTTCTGATTTCCATCCTCACCTTGTGTCTCCCAGCTACTCTGTGTGCCAGAAATGCATCCACTTTTTGCTCTTACAAACAAAGGAGCTTGACACCCCCAAGGATCCAGTCAGACCCGGAGATGGGGCCAGGTGCAATGGTGACTGTATATTCTTGGTGGGTGCCTCAGGTCTCCTTTTGACTCTGATGAGTCTCCCTGCCAGTGGCTCCTTAGGTAGCTCTTCCAAAAGAAGTGTTCTAGAGTTAGGACAGGGGAAGGCTTGTGCAGATAAGAAACTGTAAAACACACGCACACAAAATGTGCACACATATTTTGGAGTAATGGTAAGAAATACAACAAATAAAATCCAGTGAAGCAGGAAAATATTTAAAATATTGCACAAGTTTACCCAAAAGTTAGACCACAGACAAAAAGCAAGCAATTTGCATTTTTGCAGTCAACTTAGTATGGGACACTTGGTTCCTATGCATAAATGTGCAAGTGAAATCTGACTTGACTGTGTGTAGTATCTGCATAACTGACAGGGCTAAGTTGGATGTAATTCAGTAGTGTAGTAGTGTAGTGCCAGCCTGAACTTGCCAGGGAAAGCCCTACCTGACAGTCAGGAGACTCTCAGGGAGAACAGGCACATTTCTTACAGAGGACAGCTTAACAGAGTGATCAGACTTCAGCCTAATTGACAAAATGTATTTAAACAGCAAATAAATTTTGTTCAATAGCCTCAGAATGTATCAGAATTATTAAATTATCAGAAATAAGAACAGCTTGCTGTTCTTATTTAAATGCTTCATAATATTAAATTACTTCTAAATGCTTAATAATTTTAAATTGTTTCAGCTACTGGTTATATTTCATGTTGAATGAATGTCTCATTTGTCTTCACCCAAGAGGATGCATCTCTCTGATCTTGTGTTTCTTTGATTTAGCACTTCCATCTTTCCTTGATGAGAAAAATGAGCTGGGTGTTCTTACGTGATCTGCTGAGTGGAGTGAATAAATACTCAACAGGAATTGGAAGAATTTGGGTAGCTGTTGTGTTCCTGTTCCGCTTACTGCTTTATGTTGCTGCCGCAGAAAACATCTGGAAACATGAACATGATGAATTCGAGTGCAATATCAAGCAGCCTGGTTGTGAAAATGTCTGCTTTGACCATTTCTTCCCTGTCTCTCACATCAGATTTTGGGCTTTGCAATTAATCATGGTCTCCACCCCTTCACTCTTGGTTGTCTTTCATGTTGCTTACAGAGAGAACAGAGAGAAACACCACAACCAGAAACTTTACAAAAATCCAGGAAATATAGATGGTGGATTGTTGTGCACTTACCTAATCAGCCTCATTTTAAAAATAGGACTTGAAATATTTTTTCTTGTTCTGTTCTATAAATTGTACAACGGATTCAAAATACCACATCTTGTGAAATGTGACATAAAACCATGTCCCAATACTGTAGACTGTTATATTCCCAAACCCACAGAGAAAATGATTTTCCTCTATTTTATGGTGGCAACTTCATGCCTGTGCATTGTATTAAATCTAAGTGAACTGAGTTATCTGATGTTCAAATACTCCGTAAAATGTTATCTGAAGAGACACGTGAAGAAGCAGCAAGGCTCAAAAAGCAATTGCTGCGAATCAGAACTCATCAGGCACAACAGAGCAGCAGCTGCAGGGCGACTCCACAACAGCTCATCATCCTTGCCTCTGAATATGCAAGATGAACATGAAAAACATTCCCCGCTGACTTGAAAGAAGGCTGGAGACCACCCTCCCATTACACAAGCTGTTTTTGACAAATTGCTTTTCCAATCAGTGCTTTGCAGAACTATCCTTTGAAAGGATAGTTACATAGGAAATGCTGTTTCTCTGTTAGCTCCCCATTACTTGAGCTGATAAATTTGGTTACATTATGTATGTCGTACATAGAATCATTGAGAGCTTTTCATGTTGAAAAAAGAAATGTAGAAGTTCTGAGAATTCCATGAAGCTTTAATATAAACACAGATGCTTATGATAAATCATGCTGAAACAATTGCTCAAACAGTTGTGTACTGAATATTACAGAGAATTGCTTTGGTACAAGAAAAAATAGGCATTTTATATGCAGAGATAGGAAGAACCTGGGGTTGATTAAGATGAACAGCAAGGGGTGTACAGGATTTGTCAGGTGGGTGGATCAGACCTGGTAACTGCTGAAATGGCAATGGCAAAGTGGTGGCATAGAGTGATTGCTGTGCCTTGAAGTGAGCTGGATAGTCACGAGTCCACTCCGTTGTACTATAAAACATCTCAAAAACAGAAGAACCAAGAAGAGGTAGACACATCTAGTTTAGCCCATGTGATAAAGACAGATTTGGTTACTTAGCTGTTTGTGGAGCACCTCCTTCTGGAATTAAGCCTTTACAGCTATTAGGGTGTTAATAATCCAAAAGCATCCTTTAAGAAAGGCACTTGCTCAAACTTGTGCAAGCAGCATGTACCAGGGTACAGAGTTAACTCCTGGTCACCTGAACCAAGCAGCTCCCATGTCATTGTCCTCTGCTCTGTGGCATTTAGGTGAACAGATCATTCCTACTTCCCTAGGATTGGAATAGAGAAATGCAGACCACACAATACAGCAGAACAATACAGTAGCCAGTAGTCCCTAGTATTAAGTAGCCAAGAATCTGGTCCCTTTAGTAAGGCTGAAAATATGCTACTCCTTCAGTAATTTATCTGCTGCAGAAGAACACATGAAATATAAAAATGTGAAAAGCCTCCAGTAGGAACAAAGTAAAAAAGAATCACCTGTTCCCTCCCCCAAATTTCAAAGTATCCCATAAACACCACACACCTCTGTTCTTTGTTATCTGTGTTGTTTGGGTTAACAGGAAAGGGACAGAAATCAGCGAAGACATCTCTTCTGTTGAACCTAGGCTTCTAAGACAATGGAAAGTAGTGCCTTAAAACATTCCTCAGGGTAGCGTTCACTTTCTGTTGTTGGAATGAAAGACTTTTGGACATACATCTGGTACTGAGCCTGATTGAAATGCACTGTTTGAGAAAAACACCAACTGAAGTGGAGCTGCCTGAATGCTGAACTAATTTTATTGTTTGTGCCAGAATAAGGAGGAAGAAACAGTGGCAAAATCAGGTTAACTACTTCTATTTTTTTTCCCTCCGAGGCCCCCTCCAGCCCCACGGCTTTGGTTACAAAGCATTACATTTAATGAGTAGCAGTTACAGAACAGAACTTAGCAAATAATGAACAAGCTATGCATGGTGATTTGATGGTGATTTTCAAGGTAGGGTTTGTTGTTTGTTTGATTGGGTTTTTCCCCTAAAATAAACCTACTTTTATCAAATATGGTTAGACATTTGCTGCTGCTGAAATTAGCAGCAACAGCAGTCCCTCAGATACCAGCTTGCAGCCAGATAGTTTTAACTCTTGATTGATGCTGAATCAGTGCTTATATAGAGACAGGGCACTTTATACAATTCACAACATTTCCTGTTAAACCTCTACGTACACAGAAGGCAGCTCATGACAGAAATGCAGTTAGAAAGTCTTTTGCAGCTCCTGGACACAGCCCACCAAAGAGTGTCTGAAGCAAAACTACCCATGAACCCTGTGAAACTGCAACTGCTGCAGCTTAAGTAACTGAGAATAAACCCCAAAATTACCTTGGCCTGTCTGGACCCTCATGCATCCTTTTATAAAGACAAGGGCAAAACTATAAAATAAAAAAATGTTTCTGAAATATCTGGGTTTTAATAACTGTGGACAGATTTTTAAGACCACATTAATGAAAAAATATTTATTGTTTTTAAGGTAAGGTTTATTTGATAGAAAATGAAGAGAAGCAAACACAGTTTAGCCAACACAGGTTTCTGACAAAATTAGTGCATTAGCAGCTCTCTAATAAAAAAGTATATTAAGTCAGGGCTTGAAGGGTCTTAGAGACCCCCTAAAGCTCTGTGGCCGGTCAGAGATTACCACTTGGACCAAAAATTTTCCCATCAAACAAGAACTCTAATTCTTTGGAATGGATATTCAAAGTTTTATTTTTAATTCTATCTTCCAACAGCCAAGAAATTATAAAAAAATTCCAAAATCAGTGTTTCGAGTCTTGGAGGATGTTTCAAATTTGACAAAGCCAGTACCTTACATGAGAAATATTATGAAAAATCATTATGGACCAACTCCACACAACCCGACTCACTCACAGCAAATTGCCAAGTAGCCTTCACACCATGTGCTGCAAAATTTGAGTGTTTGACATGGCTACTAATGAAAAGAAAATGAGCATCACTTAACCTGAGAGAACAGAAACCAATTCATCTGCTTTCTGAACCCTTGCTCTTGGCAACCATTTAGTCTTTTGTTGGCTCCTTCCCTTTCTCTGCTTTCGTATGCCTTTGTTCTCCAGTTCAAGTTTCACTCATCCATGCACCCCTGAAGGCATTTGCTGTTACATTTTTGGTTCAAAGGAGTTTAAAGGTTTGGTCCCTAAACTTCTGAATCACTCAGACTAACATTTTAAAAAACTGAACTCAAGTTCTATGTTCTGTAAGGATATAAGCAATTGATAGGAAGCTGCTCTGAGCCCATACTGTAATGGAGAAATAACAATCACTGCATGCAGGTTCATACAAAAATATTTACCTCATTAGTATTTCAAAACATCCCTGCAAACATCAAAAGATCTGTGTCTTACATAGACTATCATTTTCCCTAAAATGCAAGTAAGCTTCTTGCCTTGGGACAGAAGAAGTTTGAAAAAAGAGACACAGACAAAATATTTCACTATTTGCTGATAGTTTCTTTCCTCTAGTCCCTTCTCCAGTACCAGAGGCCCCATTTCCTATCCCTTTAATTGTATCATCTCCACAGCAGGCAGGGCCGAGCAGCGCATGAGCAGGAGCTTCTACAACGTGGGGACCTAAACCCCAGTGTAGCCTGTCCCTGCCCCTGTCCCTCCTCCCCTGCACAAAGGTGGGAGCCCCAACCAATTCTTTGGCACAGAAACTAATTGCAACAATTAGCCAACTACTTGCCCCTCACCAGCAACTGATTCCAGTGCTGTTTGTACAAGCACTGCTCACTTACTATCCAGCATCCTAAACCAAATGTCCCAGCAGAATGCTCTAGAAGCCACCGTTCCCCCATCCTGCTAAGAAGGACTACTCTGAAACATGTGGGGATAAACCCACTACTCTTATTTACACCAAATCAGGGCTCAGGTAATAGCAGATTTCTTTGCAGACATAGTTGAGCACCAGAGAGTCTGTCAGTTTAAAGGTGTCTCTTGATCACAAAACAGTCCATGCTCTGCATTCACACACACCCCTCAATTTGGTTGCTTCCCCATCAGCAACACCTGCAGCTGTAGTCAGCACATTCCTGATGGCAACATGGGTCTTCAAAGAAAGGACCTTGTTTGAATGCTCCACAGTTAATGGGTGACAATTCTGGAAGGCAGAGACACAGAGGAAGGAGAAAGAAAAGGCAGAAGACAGGGGACTGGGCAGTGAGGCCAGCACTCTGGGGCACCCCAAAGCAGGCTGAAGTGCTGCTGGTACATCTGGCTCGGCCACCTCGGAGCCCCATCCCACCCAGCAGCCCCGAGGGCAGGGCTGTGGCTACAGGCCCAGAGAGGCTGCCCATCCAGGTGTGCTACAGCTGCTAGGGTGGGAGGTTTTCTCTATCAGCCAAGGTAAAACATCTGAATGCCAACACCAACTTTATCTCCTTGGGAGTTTCTGTAGGTGGCTTTACAAACTAGAGTACCCTCTGCAGTCTGTGGCATTTTAAATGAGACCCTGCCTTTGGTACATTTTAAGCTCAAAATACTCCTCTTGGCTATTTAAAAAGGAAACAACAAACCCCATACTAGCTTACCTGTTGGACAGGCTGTCAGTAACTACGTAAAAGGGAGCGTGCCATGGAATGTACTAACTATATGGGTATAGCATCTGCTTTAATTGGATTGATTGGGATGAGACAATATTAAATATTTTATTCTCAGAAATTCAGATCCAAATCAGAAATTGCTTCCTGAATATTTATGGCATTGGATTTTTTAATCCTTTTTTAAAATAGCATTCTAGTATAACACTGTGTAGTTAAATAGTTGTATACTATTCTCAGTCCAAGAACTGCAAATGATACAGTATCAATCATTGGGAATGTTGAAACTATTCAACTTACACAACACAAACATTCTTCTAAAGACTAACAGTTGCGAGGTCTGTTGACAGTGACTGAAGTGGTTAGGTACAGCTGAAAACAAGAGAATTCAGGTGAGCTTCAAGGATCCTCTCCTGAGGATCTCTGCCCTCTTCTCCCCTGCAGAAGTTCCCTGTACAATCACCGTCGCTGGTATCCAACAGCAGCTCCATCCAGGGGGATCAGCGGCCTCTGGCAGGTAGAAAATGGCACTGTGTACTTGTAATGATTATAATGATCACTCTTAGAGTCACAACGCAAGGATTTGTTTTGGTTTTATCATTCTCAGACTGCACCTTTGATTTAGTAACGTGGCATAGTAAGAGTTTGGTCACTTGGGAGGGATGGAAAGTGAGAGGAGCTGATGGGCTCTGTTGAAATGGAAGCACGGGCTTTCTGCGAAGGTAAGCAATTTAGCACCATGTAGCAAACCAAGGGCTGTGCCCCAGGTCCAATGCTGCTGCTGTTCACACATAATCCTCACTCTCGCAATAAGTCACTTCATTTGGCTGTAGGAAGGTGCTCTCTGCACTGACATTTA